CATCGGAGCGCGTGATGATATTTGGTCCAGCCATGTTTAATGTCTGCAGGTCGTCCTTGGTATGGGCGACAGTGACTCACGAAGTGCGGATTGCTGATTGAACTCATGTAAGTCTTAGATTAAACAGCTACACTGACATAACACTTTTCATTAAAGGGGAAGTGCATCGATTTTTCGAGTATGGTCCAGAAGAAAGACAATTTGATATCGGTTCGAATGGCATATCTCTCGCTTCCATACGATAAGCCAAACTTGCCAAATCGCCAATTGTATACTCACGTTGCCATAGCGACCAGCGCAGTGATGACGTACGAAAGGCTTAGCTCCACCACAGAGAAGGTCAATCACTGCAGAATTTGGTCATTTTCAATTGGTTTATTGTATTCACGAAGTGAAAGAAGGGCTGTGTTCAATGCTGTAAGTGCAGTGAACTGTTTGTTAGTAGTCCTCTCGGTTGTGTACTGGGACGTGACACTGACAGGAGAAAGCTGGAGCGCGGAGACACCAGCAGACAAGCGAAAATAGTGACGAACAAAATGCTGAAATCTTGGTTGGGATAAATCAGACGTTCAGCATTTCCCCCAACCAAGGACCATGCCGTTTGCTCTTTCCAATTCCTGAAGGTGAATGTGATGCTTCCTGGCGACTCTCCTATCTCTCGTAACATCTTCTGAAGCCAGGTGAGACGACGGGTGGTGGAGATTGACGAATGAAATAATGTCGTAGGTTTGAAAGTTTGCTGAAAATGTCTCAGGAGAGACGGCGAATTCCAAGCATCTTGTCCTGGAGGAAACCATTTCCTAGGCACAGTCAGCCTAGGGAAATGCATGAGAAGGGCGACAAATAGTTCACGGCACTAACAGCATTGAACACAGCACTTCTTTCACATCGTGAATACAATAAGACAATTGAAAATGACCAATTTATGCAGTGATCGACCTTCTCTGTGGAGGAGCTAAGCCTTTCGTACGTCATCACTCCGCTGGTCGCTATGGCAACGTGAGCATACAATTGGCGATTTGGCAAGTTTGGCTTATCGTATGGAAGCGAGAGATATGCCATTCGAACCGATATCAAATTGTCTTTCTTCTGGACCCTACTCGAAAAATCGATGCACTTCCCCTTTAATGCTGCATTTATTTCACCTTCCTGTGGCCAGGTAATATTACTATAGGTTAGTGCATGGCAGGGAGGGCCTTATAGCTTGTTAGCGCCAGACAGATTAGCCTGAGGGCCGCAGGTAAGCTCGAGGGCTAACCTGAAGGGCACAAACAAGCCATAAGGCCCTCCCTGCCATGCACTAACTATTTTAGAACGAGGTCACATGCACATTATCTCACTTGCATTATGCTTGTGTACTCTTTTATTGGGTAATTTTTTTGGTTTGTGTGCAGAGAGAATTGGTGTGGAATATTTTCTTCTGGTAACTCAGCACCACTGAGGACTACTAAAAGTAGAATGGAAGCAAATGGAATGCTGGGCTCTAATTGCGAGCTTCATTTTTATTCATAGCTTGTGGAGCTATTTAGGGGCTTCGAGAGCCCCTTTCTGATACCTACATGTATAATGACTTTGGTCTTCGGTTTTTATATGGTTCCGCCAGCTGTTGACAAAGGGAAATCGTACAGATGAATAAGTACGGGAGGCAAAAACCATACGCACTTCTGAAATACGTAGCTTTAAGGGGGTGATTATATGTGCAGCTCCAGACCGGGCTGGTCGGCAGGCGGGCCAGCCCGCCTGCAATGGGATCTCGGGGTTGTTCACAAATCCACAGAAAACCTGTGGTGCGTTTACATGGCAAGCGGGCTGGCCCGGCGAGGCGTGATCCCGCCTCGAGGCACCCGGGATCCCGGCTAGATCTCGCTCCATGCTGGGTTCGCAGTAGGGAGGTGACTTGCCCTCGAACATGTAGGGTTAAAAAATGGGCATGTTATGTAAGCACATTTGACAATGCATAGGAACAGAGTCCCAGTCACACCAACGAGTGCACCACTGTACATGTATGGTGAGCGTACTTGCCCGCAAAATACGCATCGGGTAGGGACGTTTTCTATCCTGTTCGGAAGATAGAGAGACGTTAAAAAAATCGGCAAATTCAGGAGATCTGTCACCTGATATTGAGATTTGGCACCTCTGAAACTATGAAACACATGTATGTTGTCTTGATCTTGTATCCGATATTCATCAGTATACGTTCTTGTTGCCTTGGCTATAAAAAATGGCTGTTCACATTGCTCAATAGTCTTCCATGGCCTTGCCTGCCCTGTTCAGTTGTACTCGCAGGAAACTCTCTGCTCAGCAACGCTTGGCAGTTCTCTTGACTCTCTTGGTTTGCATAGTTGCCAAGTTGAGAAAGTAATACCGAGAGGTATATTTTAAGGGAGCAATGAAAAGAAAATGGTTTCTTTCGTGAAGCTGTGCAGGGAACTACACAAACTAAGAGAGTTGATTAAGAAATGTCCCTGTGAGTGGTGGAGTGTAGATTAATACAATTCTTTCAATTCCTGGCTTGAGTTCTGGTGGGGATAGCCATTTTTGTTTCGAACACTTATGAATATTAGTTTCATAGCTGCCATTTACAATGTATATCCAATGTGTTAGCAACTATTAGTTTACATACATGTACATGATACTCAATCTGCGGACAGAACTGTTTCGTCCTTTGTGGACTCGTCAGCGCAGCACAGAGGAAATGAGGCCGAACCTGATAGCAATGGAAATAAAAAATTTCCAATCAGGCCCGAACGTACATGTACATGTACATGACTGTACATATACATGTCCCCCATGGCACAGGCTACACTTCAGACGTGTGTGTTGCACATGCAGCCCAGTATACAACAGCATACATGTACACTGATGTACACTGTACATACATGTAAAGTGTCTAAAGTCTTTGTCGTCTGGTGAGTGTCTTTTGAACACGGAACTCGGAGTTACGAGAAAGCCTTTTGGTCTCTGTTGTTCTGCCTTGTGTACACTGATGTACATGTGTATTAGGAATGGGTTTGCTCCCACACATATTTCGTACATGCATACTCCTGTTTCTTTCGTTGGCAAGTTTTTCTCACTTCATCTTGTTTTTGGTTTGCTCCTTCTTTTTTTCCTTTTTATCTCCTTATGATCGGTTTTTCGGGCCTCTTTGTACAGTGCTGGCAACTGAAATCCGACCCCCTTGGCGGGGCGTCAGCAAGGGGGTCGGATTTCAGTTGCCAGCACTGTAGTAGTATGGTGTACTGTTGAGCCACTGAAGTAAAATAAATCCAATACAATAGAGTACAATACAATACAATAGCATACGCCTACTCAACCATTCCAATAATTGGTAGCTCTGGTGTTACTAATCGGTAGGTCGGAATGGTTTGCTCGCTGTGACTTGGGGTTTCTCGAAAAGCGAATCCTCGGGCAATACTTGCCTGAGGATCGCTTTGACAGAAGGAGTTGTGCATGCAACTCAGGCTTGTAGCTATAAATCGTTCTGATCTTTGGTAGAAGGTTCTGCCCAGGGTATTGAGCAATGCACGTTGCCTACAGTGTCGATTCCTGGATATTTTGTGACAATTGTGACTGTTACTGAAAACCATGCGAAATTTCTCAAAAGAAAACCCACGTTTATGCCCATAATTCCTGTCCGTATGGACAGTGCTAGGGATGGTATGTGATCATTCTATCCTGCTGGAGCTATGAACACCCCTGGGATTATGTGTGTGTGTGTGGGGGGGGGGGGTACCCCTGAGGATTGCAATGCAACCCATGTCACGTACATGTACATGTATGTACCGCTGGGGGTTCTGCACATCTTGGTAGATATACAATTTGATTCTCGAAGCTACATGGATGCAAAAGATGTTACTTTAGTAGCATCTGGTGCTAGCCAGGGTCCACAGCGCTTTAAAATGCCTGAAACGTCTCTTCACCACTATTATCGTGTACATATTTTTGTATTGCAAAGACTTGTCTATCTTTTCGAGAAAAAAAAAGAAAGACAAAGCATAGCGAGGGCTCGCGGTTTTCAAGCCCTCTTGAGTCTTGCACTACATCGATTTGTGCATTGAATTATTGCAAGGCTGTGTCCTAAATTCTCAGCACTGACACTCGTATGATGTGGCGTCTATGAAACTGTGTATAACAATTACGCTTACAGTGTAGTTTCATCTACAAAACCTTTCGAGCAGACAAGTAATAATTATCATTGCATTGATTATGGGCACTCGCCTGAGTGACCCTACGTCATGTGCATGACTGTATAATTATTGCAATTATTTGGCACATACATTGTTTAGGCCATCATTTTTTATAGCTATGTTTCGCGTCGTCCGCACGCATACGTTTTGATTTTTTTCGGAAAAAAATAAAAAAATCGAACATGCACAGTGAGTGTACGATCGTGCGAGTCATCAGTGTGGACAGGTTGCATACGGCGAAGCTGGGATTCAGAAATGGCCTCTAGCCTAGGCCAGCGTTGGTAAATCGTTTGTTCGGCATCCGGGAGCAATATTCTATGAGCTTACACCAGACCGCATTGATCGCCTAAGCTGAGAGGATGCGTCGTTCCGGAGCTCTTTGCACCGCTGCTGAAGTCTGAGTACAATATTCCAGCGAAGCATAGGCACCATGACCAACGGTTGCCTCCTCTGCCCAAAGTGAATATTTACTCATGCTGATAACCCAGATGTTGTGCTTCGATGTACGATTTTTCTTTCGAATGTACACCATGCACGAGCTATTGTACTATGTACAGTGCATACACCTCTGATGAGCCTTTTTTATTATTTTGCAACTTTTTATTTTTTTCCACCTCTCGCATATGAATCTGGAAGTTGAACTGACGCGAAACATAGATATAACAAATGATGGCCTTACCTACAAGTGTAGGGAGTGAGGTATGTGTAGCTGAAGAGGAGTAAGAAGTACCCATGACTCCATGAGACGAAAACTGTGATCACTGTCCCGTGAGGTCTTGACTTCAACCGCAGTATGTTGGTTTACGGGTACTTTTTTTGAACAGTGAGAATGTTACAAATGGAGTTGCATACACAGGCAGTACAGGCAGTACAGGCAGTACGGGAGACGTGAAGAGTTGGTACTTAACTAGTAGTATTGTTATTATGCACAGGGATACATATTGAGCTTTATGCTATAGTATGATGAGGGGGCTAGGAGAAAAGGCCATACAGAGAAGGTGAGAGACAGACAGACAGAGGGAGGGAGAGAGAGAGAGAGAGAGAGAGAGAGAGAGAGAGATAGAGATAGAGAGAGAGAGAGAGAGAGAGAGAGAGAGAGAGAGAGAGAGAGAGAGAGAGAGAGAGAGAGAGAGAGAGAGAGAGAGAGAGAGGCGGAATATGGAAGTAACTAAGCATCACACCAGAGTTGTAGTAACTGTAACACTTGGTGTGAAGTATTGTGGAATGAAGTATTGTGGAATGAAGTATTGTGTGATGAAGTATTGTGGAATGAAGTATTGTGTGATGCAGGAAAATGCGCCAAATAAATGTAATGCTAGCTGGGCACAGAGCGAAAGTGTGTTTTTCCGATCAGGTGGCAACCTGCGTTTTGGTACTTGTACATCCAGTGGACAATATTCTACTCCATCTCCACACTCGTACTTGTAATGCACTGTATGCAGAGTGCTGATCCTAATCACTATGACATGTTCATACAATCATGCATATGCATCATTGTTGAACGTAGATATTTGTAGTAGCTATCTCATGCCCGTAACTGTTCTCAGCAACACACCGATACGTGTACTCATCATCTCCAGTCAACGTGCGGAAATGCAGAGAGCCACCAGGACCCGTGGCTACTCGGCTGCTGCTGTCTCGTCCTATGACACGATAGCCTCGTAACCAGGTGATACGTGGCGTCGGATGTCCTTTAGCCTTACAGTGGAGAGTCAAAGACTGCCCTGACCTCTCCAAGACGAATGGTGGTGGTCTAGTGTTGAACGTAGGTGACTGTGGTTCAGAGTCTGGATCACTCTCTGGTGCTACTGATGGTGAAGTTATTACCTGCTCTTGTCCAGTGTTGCATCCTACTCTTGGCTTCTGGGTAATACTATTAGCCATTAGGAACTCCATGACTGGGAGAGGAGGAGATTCTGACGTCACTGCACTGGCTACTGCATTCTTTGTAGCCAATTGCTGTGCATGAGGAGGTTCGTGTGTGTTCGTTGATGGCTGTACGACGTGGAAATAGGAAGGGGAACACAGGGACAGTTCAGAAGTCTCAGCACGAGTGAATGTTATCACACAGGCAAACAAACCAGCTTGCTCGGCAGCACATTCCATACAATCACCATCATAGCGACTTTTTCGGCACCCTGGTCCTGCAACATTGCTATCTGCATCTGCTCCATGATCCCTCAGCGCAGCAGTGTGCTGGTTGGAAACTGGCGTCCACGTCTTCTGAGGACTAGAGGAAGATGAAGTCGGTGTCCACCAAGAGATGTTTGGTACAAGAACATTGCTATCACTGGAAAGGTGTCCCGCTCCATTTCCAGCACACGACCAGCGCTCTCCCTTCTCCGAGGCCAGACGTTTTCGCAGTGCCGTACAGCAGCGCCTCACAGGACATCGGAGATGACGTGGAGCACCGTTCCGTCGTGCAGAGATCACTTTGATATCGTTCTCCTGCTGCGGGCGACTACTGGTATCCCACACTCGTCTTAGCTGTTCAGGTACTTGAATCAAATCATTGCTTGGTGTTCCGTGATCCGTAGCAGTAGCAGGACCAGCCATGGTAGGGTTATCTGCTACAAACACAGCAGCCATCACGGTGAACAGAAGAAAACAGAGACACGCCGTCACCGTGGCTGCCATGACAGTGGTAGGCAAAGAACTTTTCTTAATCCTGCTTCAAGCAGGTCTAGGGACAGAAATCGACCTTGATGTACCACACTGATGGCTTAGAATTAGTTTGCTCTGACTCTGGCAGCGGTTAACAGCCAACAGGAATCAGGTAGGCTGAATATTAGCAGTACACGAAGACCCACAAAACCTGTTTCTATCACCGACCAAAGAAAAGTCTGCTCTTCTCCACAATTTCACACCCACATGCATGAACATGTATATGTATGGTGTGAATCTAGCTGGTCTGCCCTCTTCAATCTACTCCCTCAATATCATTGCTACATGTATAGGAAACTTGAGCTTCAGTAGTTTGTCGAACTAATACGTGGACTGTCTGGTTTTATACCCAACACAGCTGCAATCCGCACCCAGTATTACGTATAACTGTATAAGAAGAACACATTCATCCTTGTGCGTCTCGGGCAGTATTCAGATTCTCTAGCAACACCTCTATCATCACAGCCAGCCAGTCCATTCCTGGTGCTCTTTTGCATCACGCAAGGTATGTACGTAATGGATTCCCAGCACAGGCAAACTGCCTCCTTGCTCTCGTGCACTGCAAACAGAAAACCAGTTTTCCCGTCCCACGTACATGTATCTCATCACTCAAGCGAAAACAGGAACCCCTCGATAGGCGAACAGCTTTTGGGGAATCCTTAAAGTAAATAAATACCATACAACAATGCATCACAACTTAACCGAAGATGGCTAACTCTCGCAAGGGGGGACATATGTACATGTATTTTGACTGCAATTTTGACCGAGAAAAAAGAATTACAGTTGAACCTGGTAGTGAAGTGGAGGTTTGCGTATTTCCTGTCCAACACTGGCAACACTAACAGTGTGCGATGTCTCTGAGAGAAGATGCCAATTTTGAAGTGGGACGGAGCTGTCGCACTATGTCTGAGACTAAAACATGGTCGCCCGTCTTTCAGTATCATGCAAGTCGATTTAGTCTTGAAAACGAGTGGACAACTACACGATCCTGTAGATGGTCGGATAAGTGGTGCTACTGGAGGCGTGCGTGGAGAAGTTTTCAAGAGGGTCCACGACAACATGTGGGTCCATTCCTCATGCGCACATGATGGCCACTGGCTACTCTCCAAGGACGGAAGGCAGGAGACAGGTGGCGCGGTAGTACGTACTACATGTACAATCATGTACATGTATATCTGCAGACAGTGAATGGTTAGCTTCACAGCTGCCACAAGCGCAGCCTTTTCCCGGACAAAAGATTGTCCAGGAGCAGCCCAGGTATATTGTGCTCTACCACATCTGAAAACACTATCTCAGAGCTGCACTGCACGCATTATATTCATTTCAACCAGTAACATTGCAATGTTCGCAGGAAGTGTGTACGATATCCAAACTAATGATGGCATATTCCAGTTAACAAAAGATGTCACACGGATAATATTCAGCACCGGTATCTACTGCAAGTCAGTGGAGTAAATCCATGCACGCTGTATCTAAATAATTATTATTACCTGTTGTCATGTGGACGTCGACTGCAGCAGATGACGTCAGATCCAGAATTGAAACAAGCTTAGAATCCGACGATGGTGCCAGCGTTGTTTGGTCTGGTCCTGGTACGCTATAGACAGAAGCAACCTCAGGCAGGGGTAGTGTGACTGCCATAGCGCCCATTGGACACCCACCGCTACCCATCAGGCATACATGTACATGTAGACAAGTGGACACGCACAGTATTATATGGATCATATACAGGCGTTCACCTGTTGACACTGGAGAATGTTGCAACATTTCGCGGTTTCGACTCCACAGTGTCCTATATTCAGGCTACGGTAGTTGGGGACGTCTTGAATGCGATTCGCATTGAACAAGAGCTGTACAGTCAATTAATTCTATGAGATGACTCCTCTCCTGACGCTAGTAATAGTAAACCTCACCGACTCCACAAGCACTTCCTGCACGTTGCAAGATTGTAGGCAAACGCAAGGTGGTTAACTCTTTGCGTAATTATATACAGGTACATGTACATGTATAATTATGAACATGTCCTTCAGCTTTGAGAAAAAGAAGCAAGTTGCTCAATACGCTTTCTTCTGACTCGTCTTGCTGGAGAAGTTCCTTTTATACGTCTCTTGGGTGGCAGGGAAATGAAGACCTTTTTCTTAAAATAGAAGAAATCTCATGGAAACGACTTATGAAGCAACTATCCACGGCCACGTTGCCAGTTGTTTCTTTACCACCATACCAACCAACCGTAAGTACAGCTACGGTGGTGTCTTCAACTTCATTATCCACGACTGTAACAAGGTGATAAGCAGTCAATTTTCAAGTCTTTGTTCCCTGGGATCAGTGTCGGGACCTTCCAAGCCCTAGGAAATATTTAAAAATCGTGGACTTGATCGTGATAGAAGGGGTAGTTTGCACCCATCAGATCCACCCATTGATTCCATGGCAATTTTGACTCCATGCATCAGCTGTGCACGACTTACAGCTTTCGTGTCGTTTAGAAGTTTCCTCTTTTCCCGCACAACGGCTTTGCCAAGTGTGTGACCTGACCAGGAGAAGTAAGTTGTCGACTCGCACTCATACTCATAGGAACAGGTAGATGGCGTACAAAAATGTAGATGTGCACCGGGTGAACAACTTACTTGACAGCCGCTAGCCACTGCACATGCATGATGGAACGTTACAGTACAAGTGCAATGACTATGTACAGTCATGTAGTTGCAACGGACAGCTGTCACCAGTGCACCACGTCTTTGCCTTTGGTTCTGGAAATGGAATACCTAAACCATCAATCAACCAGATTTCTCTACTTTGAAGTTTTTTTTTTAGATACTGCTTACTCGTCCAATCGAAATAGTCATTGAACACGCAGTAAAGATAATACAGGTGGGTGTTGTCCAGTATTATGATAACCGACTCCCATAATGAATCTGGCTCCACGTTTTTGCAAGGCATAGTCTTGTACAGTGCTGCTCAATAAAATCCAGCCGCGTCACTCAAATACGCACTGGGCGTTGCGCAGCCCTATACTATAGGCTATAGGTCTGCCAACACTGGCCAGGGAATGGTGCAAGGCGAAAACCGTGGACTCACCCGACCGGATTTCATTGAGCAGCACTGTAGTTTGGCTTGAGCTCGTCTACATTTTGAGTGGCTAATCTTGCGTTAGATCTCTGCAAAACACTGTATATTTCGGGAGGGGTATCTACAATGTGCATGTACAGTGTAGGTAAATACAGAAAGGTAGCAGATACATGTAGCACAGGATGTAACATTGAGTGCCCGAACTTTTGCCGATATGTCTAGACACGCCCTGAGTGCTACCTGTAGCAACGTCCCTTACGACACGGGGTTTGCTTCCAGCGATGAAAAACATCACCATCTTCTCTCCGAGGATTGCTTGTATCATTAGTCCTTTTAAAGCCCCGGGACCAGGGACTCTGGATTGTACATTGTATACGTTACAATAACATTGTGCCCTACGGCCTTCTCAGTGAGGTACATGACTGTATGTAGTTCACTTGCCTTTCACCTCCCACACAGTAACACATGTACATGTATCACAGTCATACAACAGAATTATTGTTCCACAGTCCTATAACGTTAAAGGTAAGATGTCTCTTCTAGCGCGAAACCATACCAGCTTCCTGCAAGTAAATGACTTGTAGCGAGAGTCCAGAACCCCAGAACCCCAGGGGTTATGGACTCTTGCTTGTACGTGTATCCATCTATCGTAGAAACAAAAATCGATTGTAGACTGTGCGGGTGGCAGCGCGCTCCCCGTCCCTTGCAGGGCCTAGGGGCAGGGCGTGTCCGTTCCTGGGTCGGAAACTGTGCAGTTGTTGCGGCCACTGACGCTGCGTGTCGGATGGCCGTACCGTTGCAATGTATTGGGAATGCGTTAGAGTTGCAATGAATAAGATAACGTGCGCGCTCCTTCTATGTAATCATGCATCTACTTGTACACACATCATCAAGGAACGATTTGTTGTCTCTAAGAACGTTTTCTTGTGATGGTCATCGGCAAGAGTACATCACTGATTAGTGAACAAAGAATATCAAGGTATTATACAAGTTGATGTGTCAAATTCGTTAGAGCTTTTAAAGTAGATATCCATTCATGATAGCTTTTGAATGAATTGCGCAACCAAATCTTTCGTAGAATACAATGGTCATGTACTTGTCTTTTGTTCATCAGCTATCAAAGCGGTACAATCAGCTCCAGAATTAATAATAAACCCTATTCGTGCCCCAAACGGGGCACGGCAAATCAAGTCTTGCTGTATTTATTTATTTCGCCGGCCACCGAAGCTTACAAGGATGAGCAGAAGCTGGAAAGCGTTGTGGCGGACATTGTACCACTCGGGTGGAGGGAGGATGTGCTAGCGTCGTAGTCCACCAGGATTCACCTGGGCGTTGACAGCTAGCGCCAGTAGCAACACAACTAATTGCTTCAGAAGCACGCCCGTAAACATTAGGAGAGCCAAGATCTGTGATTGTATTAATTTTGTGAAGACTACATGAAACCGGTGTAGTGGTATTGTCAACAAAGGCTAGGCCCCAGTCCGATCCAGAGGAAGTGTCGATGAACAAATCAGATAAGAGTCATGACTGTTGCGCAACATTGTATACTATCCATGTCTATTTAAGGTCCGGCTTTACCTTTATCGCCAACTCCGACGTGTGGGGCATGATTCCATCAACCAGCAATGTAGTTCTGTATCAGTGTAAAAGCCAGACTCTTCCCGAGCAACACCGTTGCACATGTAATCTACATGTACATGTACATGTAGATATCATCTTTGTACATGTAATCTACATGTATGTGAGGTGGGAAGCAAGAAAGCTGCTACATGAAATATGGAACTGGGAGATACAGCTTGTTTCGGTCTTCTCTCTGCCAAATCACTGCACTTATACATGTAGATAGAATTAGTTGTTTGCATCTTTGTACATGTACATGTACATGTACATGTAGATAGTGTACGGTTTAAAGAGACACACATGTATACACGCTGCATTTGCAGAGTGTTGACAATGGCGTCGTGTCGGGAGAGTAAAATTAATAATGTTTCACGGGA